CTACCCTCTCAGTAAAGTAATACTTCCTGATATTACTTTTAAACCTTTGTCCCTCTAATATAAGACTATGTCCTCTTGTTGTGGTAGTTTTTCTTCTTTTAAATATAGTCACATTACTTACCTGCAAAGAAAGGAGCACAGGAAATGAGACCACTGCTTGCAGGAACAGACAAACAAAAAGGATTAATGGCAAAGGAAAGGGTGTGGCAACAAAAAAAAAAAAAACATTTAAAGGAATCTAGGAGACTGGGAATTCAAGGAACGGAATAAAGGAATGAACCCAGAAAACCCAGCATAAAGAAAACCAGACATAGAATAGAAAACCAGAAAAACCAAGAAAAACTGAACAAGAATTTAAAAAAGAGTACTGGATACCAGAAGCCAAGGCCAGACAAATCCGCAGAATGGAATAGGTTGTTACACTACCCTAATACTTCTCTTTTTTTGATTTTCCCCTCAGTAATACAAACTTGAGGTACATTTGCAGATGTTACTTCATATCACCACTTGTAAGATAATCCTTCACTCACCCCCTACTCATTGCCTTACTGCACAATTGCAAGTCGGCCTGCTTTGAGGCACTTAAAGTAATCCTACACTTTTCTTCATTGGCACGATACATTAACTCCTACCCCTTTGTTTTGTGGCTGATAAAGATGCAGATGGATATGCATTGGTGGCAGTAGTGGAAGCTGCATTAATCTGTACACAAGGATAACAAGGTAAGCCAAGGGGTTAACAATAACTCCAAGGGTGAAAAAAAAGTGCCACAATTGAAATACTAGATTGAAATCTAGAGTTAATTTATTAAACAGTTAAAATATAGTATCTAAAAACCAAATGCTGCCTTCAACTGGAAATATCTTCAATATTCCTATATAAAGAGATAGATGAAAAGTGAAAGAAAGCAGATAAGGCTAAATTAAATGAAAGTAAATTTATTCAAATAGGTATGACAAAAAAAATCTATATAAGAATAAAAAATGAACATATATGTATGTAGATTTAAATGTACGATAAGACAAATAGAGGATAGTTCCCACCTAGCTGTTGGGAACTAACCAAGCTGTTTGAACGAAGAGTACCGCACACCATTTACTCAGGACATTGAACTAAGCATCTATTTTTATTTTTGACTTTTTACTTTATTTTTCACTTTTATTCACCTTCCTATATCCATCTTTTGAGGAAATCTGTGACCCCTTTGCAGGATCTACACAATCAAAGAGGATTCAACACATCTATACGTATCCCCAAAATCGGACCGAGCAGGAGTGCACTCCAGTCTTTGGAATCAGGTTTTTTTTTTTTACCATACACATATTTTTTGTGCATTTTTACATCTATGGACTATTAATGTTATTTTAGCTTATACCAATAGCAGGTATTTCTTAAGTGGGAACTATCCTCTATTTGTCTTATTGTACATTTAAATCTACATACATATATGTTCATTTTTTATTCTAATATACATTTTTTTGCCATACCTATTTGAATAAATTTACTATATTTTAAATTTAATTTAGCCTTTTACGCTTTCTTTCACTTTTCATCTATACCTGTACACAAGCACTTGGCTGATTATTGCTAATGGAAGTTGTGATGGTTCCAGTATTTATGATATGTTGATAATTTTTTACCTTTATATCTGTATTCATTTATATGGTTATATTTTCTATGAATGCTCAAAATTGACTCCTATATTTATTCCAAAAAGACCAGTATTTATCATATTTCACTAAATTGTTATCATTATAAAAACAAAAAAAATATCTATTTTTCTATAACCATTTGATATTCCATTTGGGTATGCCAAGTTTGTAAATCAATTTCATCATTTTACTTCCAACTTTTAAATATCAAAAGTTTAAAAGCTAGAAGGCTATGTGTAACTGAGCTTCTACCGGTAGTAGATCTTTCTTTTAATCCTATATGTAGGAGGGCAAATGTCATATCTGGTTGGACAGTTATTCTTGTAAAGTATGAAATTATGGAGAATACTTTCCATTTATATTTTATTTTCTTACAGTCTACGATATATGAGCATAAAAGGTCTGCCATATATGAGTAGAGTTGAGCGGACACCTGGAAGTTCGGGTCCGGCGGGCCTGGCCGAACTTTGAAAAAAAGTTCGGGTTCAGGCTCGAACCTGACCCCGAACTTGACCCCGAACTCCATTGAAGTCAATGGGGACCCGAACTTTTAGGGCTAGGGCTAGAGGGCTGCAAATGGAAGTAAAATGGGGGTAAGAGTAGGACAAGTGCCCTGCACAAATGTGGATAGTGAAATCACCTAAAATAACATAAAAATAAAAAATACAGCTGAGCCATAAAATAGCACTAGATGGAATCTTTGATTTTAGCTTTGGAAGAACATAAATCAAAATCTAAAGCATGGCTGTCAAGAGGATCACCAGAATTATCCATTTGAGAGAGGGTTGGAGTGCAGGGTATTCTCTTTCATTGTTCAAACTGAGCTCAACTCCTGATGCATGGAGAAAAGGCCTTCACAAGCCTCTGCTATTATGTACAAAGTTTTTACTAAGTGACCTATAGGTTGAGGAGGCGGTGACCATGGTGGTGTAGGTGGAAGCGGCGGTGGAGGAGGAGGAGGAGGTAGCCAACACTGTTTTTCATTTGTTTGGGTTTTTTTTTTTAAATTGGGGTAGCCCCCTAAAATATTGGGACATATAAAAAAAGAAACATTTGCAGCCTGCGCTGCATTTCTTGCAGTCCTGATGCATGGAGAAATGCTCAACTCCTGATGCATGGAGAAAAGGCCTTCACAAGCCTCTGCTATTGTGTACATAGTTTATACTAAGTGACCCATAGGTTGAGGAGGTGGTGACCATGGCAGTGTAGGAGGTAGCCAACACTGTTTTTAATATATATATATTTTAATTGGGGTAGCCCCCAAAATATTGGGACATATAAAAAAAGACAACTCTGTTCTGCAGTTGCGTGCTGCAACTGAAACTTCACTATCGCCTACTGCTTGCACAGTCTCTCCAGCATGTGCAAGGTGGAGTTCCACCTGGTGGGCACGTCGCATATGAGGCGGTGAGTGGGAAGGCCAAAGTTACGCTGCAGCGCAGACTGGCGAGCAGCAGCAGGGTGAGAACGCCGAAAGCACGCACATCCGCTACAGTGAATGTCACGTCCTGTTCCAAGTTGCGGATCAGTCTGGTGATGGCTTCTGGTATCCAGTACTCTTTTTACTGAAGCTGCATCAGGGTCCTGATGCAGCCACAAACGCTGGTGCTCAACACCATGGGGCGTGCGGTTACCCTGAACCAGACCCTGTTAATCCATTCCACACTGTGACTCCTAACTTCAACATCAGGCATACTGGGTCCAGGTCGTCTGACCGCCGCCCAGACAGTGTCTGGGTCCCGGTCACTGGACTTCGAAACTGTGAATGGCTCGTTAAATCTGTTATGGTTCCTTTTATCACTCCATCTGTTACTTGGATAACTGTGGGAATTCTAAAGATAATACATGTCAACGAGCGCTAGGGCACCCTTCTCCCTCTTATGCTGTGCTGGTGCCTCTGTGCGACCAGCACCTCTTCCTCCAAACTGCACACGTCACTCGCTTGACCTTGATTCCATGTTGGGTCTAGGCAGGGCCGGCGCTTCCTATAAGGCGAACTAGGCAGCCGCCTAGGGCGCCATATAGGAGGGGGCGCCCTGCGCCCCCATCGCCGGCCCTTTAAATTCTGCAGCCGCCTGAGCGCTCTATAGAGAGCGCTCAGGCGGCTGCCGCAGTGCCTCACCTCCCCTGCCCTGTAGCGTGGCCGAGCTCCTTTCCGGTCCGCGACCCGGCCGGAATGACAGGAAGTGCACATTGAGTGTGCACTTCCTGTCAGTCCCGCCGGGTCGCGGGACCGGAAAGGAGCTCGGCCACGCTACAGGGCAGGGGAGGTGAGGTGAGGAGATGCTGGGGGGAGATCATTTGATGGGATGGAGGGAGGGAGGGGGTGAGACCATTTGATTGCAGGGAGGGGG